GAGGGAGAGAGGGGGAGGGAGGGAGAGGGAGGGAGAGAGGGAGAGGGAGGGAGAGAGGTGAGAAAGTGCTCACATGGAGCATAGCCATGCCCAGTCTCTTCTCCATTTCTTCTTTTGGGTGCCTCGCATGTTTCTCAAGCTGCCATGTCACCCACATGAGGTCCAAACGCCTTATCTACCATGCCACTAACTGGCCAGACTTCTCCTTTTGACTTGGCTCACTCATCACCTTTCTGTTCTCCAGCCAGGCTAGATGCCACGATTTAAAAGAAAATTGAGGGACTCTAACTAGAAGAGGATTAAGTAATGTTTCCTTCTTTTCTATAGTTGTAAAAACTCTGCAATTCTCTGGCCTATAGTGAGTACCGAATAGAACTATTTCTACTTATAAACACGCCTACCCTGAATACGTATGTTTATACCTCATTGGACACATGCAAGCTCATGCCAACGCAGAGCTCAGAAATTTCTGCACATAGGCCACACCTTACCTGGACATGGCAGCAGCAAACTCCTCCGAGTTCTTGGTCTTCTTCATCAAGGGCTTGCCCTCGGGGTTGAAGCCATACACCTCTTTCAGAGTGCACTGGCTGGTCCTCAGGATGAAGCTACAGAGTTGGGGAACCTCCAGCTCAACCTGAAAGTGGGGAGCAAGCAGCACGCTGAGAGTCTCTTTCCAGCATGAGAGACGCCCCCTCTCCCCTAAGGCAGACCTCCAATCAGGACACCAAGAAAAATGTGTTGGAAAATGTGACCGGTCACCCCAAGCAGCATGTGTCTTCTGAACAGGCCTCATGGTTCCCACGAATCAACTAAGACTTGCTCCTATTTTTTTCCTTTTTTTCCCCTCTTGGGGTAAGAAGTATTTTAAATTTGTCCATGTGCTTGGCAAAAAGGCCCTTCCATGCCCTGCCATTGTTGTACACTTACTCCCCTAAGTAACTAAGAGGAGTGGATGATGAGAAGAAATGCACACCGTGAATGAGAGTTACGGAGAGACAGGGAGCTGGGAGAGCACCATCATTGGCTTCAACGGTAAGTGATGTCTTCACCTCGCGAAACTCCTGTTCCCGTTCTCAGGGCCAATGGGAGCTTACGTGTAGGTGGAGTTGACGCAGAGCCCTAGTGCCTATCTAGCCATATTCAAAAACCTTTCTGCCAAAATGGAGATGTTCTGTATTTGCTCCATTCAATATTGTAGCCATCAGGTATGGGTGGCGTCTGGGCACTTGAATTGTGGCTAATATGACTAAGAAACTTAATTTTTTGAAAAGAATATTACATAGCATTCTGAACATCACAGATGCAAATAATTTCAAGTGCACAAATAGTAGAATGTAGTAAGCTAATTACAAAGTGATAAATATTTAGCATTATTACTTTTTTAATATCTTGATTTTTTACATATTTTTTAAAAAGATTTTTGCCATAGGGAGTGTGTGTTCACCAGCAACAGTGAGAAGGAAAGTGAAAAAATCACCCCCTACCCCCAAAGGGGAATGGCCGTACCACAGTCCCTTCTTCATTCTCTTCTGGGATTTTGGGCATGCCAGTACATGAGCCTGGCGTGACTTTTAAGTCACCAGGTCCAGGACTCAAACCACGGTTGGCCACGTGGAAATCCAGCTACCTTAACCACCACGCCATCTGCTGGCCCCTTTGTTATTTTAATTTTTAATTTTATGATTTCCTGTTTACATTCAATCACTGCATATCTCTAGAGCTCACACAAAAAGCCTGAATTTTTAATTTCATTCCATTGAATGTGACTAACACCTCCCTTATTTGATAGCACCGACAAGAGCTGCAGAGCCCTCTAGAAGAGGGCACCTTCTCAGCCTGACTTCTCTTCCCACACAAGCCCCATAGTAGCTCTTAGACCTGCTTCCTGGAGTCCATCCAGCCTCAATCCAAAGTTGTATTTTAGGAGAAACTGTGCGCCTCAGCTTCCCTTGTTTGGGCATCAGATTCTTCGTGATGTAGATGATAAAAGGTGCATTTCAGGGTGCTTTCCTGAGATGCCCAGCGGCCTTAGCTCACCCACTGGATTCCCTCCTGCTCACCGCGAGTCCTACACTGCTAAGATTCCAGATCATCTCTAATTTCATTTTGGAAGCCAGTGGGAAAATCGAGGTGGCCGGCGAGATCTGTGCCCTGGACTGCTCAGCAAAGCGGCTGACTTAGAGCTGGAGGGGCGGCCCCAGCACTGCAGACTACAGCAGCCCTGATCCCTGCTGGTCTCTCTGGTGCGGGGAGGCCCGTCCAGCCCTAGTCCGCATACCTTGCAGTGGATCTTGGTGGCGCTCCTTGAATCGGCAGTCCCAGGGACTCCGCTGGAACTCTCTGCCTCATAGCCGTACATGTACTTCCGCAGGTGCTTGAACCGAGTCGCATCTTCTAGAATGTGGAGGGAGAAATCAGCCACATAGCAGAAAGGACTCTCCTAGGGTAGTCAGTTGTGGGCATGTGGGCAGGGGTGTGGATAACCAAAAATGGTAATTAAATTCAAATGATTTTTCATTGATTTTGCATTATATTTAAATCTCCTTTATAGATTTGACTACTCCAGTTTGTCTTGCTGAGGCCAGTGCTTGAATGAGTGGGTGTTCCTTGGTTATATCACCTGAGGTACAGAGAAGGGGGTTTCAGGCACCAAGCACCGGGGCTTTCTGAGCCCATACAAGAGAAACTTTCCAGAAAATTAAGAGTTGAGAGCATTAAGTAAACCATGCAGTCCGTAATGGTTTTTCAGCCTGAAAATGCTATCATTTTGAGACTCTTGTTTGATACTGCCAAATACATGAGGCAAAGTTCTTCAAGCACTAGCGCTATCTGGCTAACGTAACAACTCCCCCCTGCCCCCAAGAACGAATTTCTAGAGGTTTCCTCTGAGAGCCTGAGAGGAATTTTCTGAACAACAGAGAAAAAACCGTCACGAGCCCAGATGCAGTGATAGGAGATGCCCACCAGGTGGCGGTGCTGCGCCATCAGAGGCCAGTCCGAGAGCGCGCAAAACACTCGGTACCAGCAAGGCCGACGGGCTCCTTTGACCCCTAGGGGTAAGGTAAATAGAAGGGGTGGGGGTCTGGATTTGTGCAGAGGTTAAAGTCGGCATTTCTTCACCCTCACACGCTTTTAATCAATGCTTAGTCATTGATAAACAGGACAGTGACCCAAGGCCAATGGAGCGCAGTCCCTTTGCCACTCCACCCCCAGGTTAAGCTTTAGGGACAGAAGGGCAGGTAGAAGAGAACAGAGATCTCTTGCTGGGAGAGGGTGGACAGAGACAGGAAGAACTTGCGTCCCAGGGTCAACGCAGTGGCCAGAAATCTGAGCAAAACACCACTGTGGAGTGAGGAGTCTTGAGTGACCACAGGCGAGGAAGGAGGGCTGGGGTGGGGGTGCCCTTCCATGCCGGGTGGAGAGAATGCTTACTTGGACAGCTCGGGTTGGCATTTTCCAGCACTTCGTCTTCTGTAAGAGAAGGCAAAAGGAAACGGGGTTCTTTCATTCTTCCCAATAGATGGCATGGTCAGGCTTGGAGGGACAGAAGCAGGTTCACTCCTCACTCCCCAGTCCCTCCATCCTGAGCCCCCTGACCTGGGCGTGGGGAGCTACCAGCTGGGCTGTGCCCCAATCCTGGGCCCTCTGGACTTTCCGGCTGTCCTGGCGCCCAGGCCCAAGCAGCCCTTGCCCTCCTCCTGCCAGGCTTCCACCAGCTGGTTAAGCTGAGTTGGGGAGGCAATCCCGCACCCTGCGCCCTCCGCGCACTCACCTGCCGACGCCCCTGCAGCAAGCAGCAGCCCCAGCTTTTCCACTCAGGCTTGCCTTTGAGCCCGGAGGAGGGGCTGGGCAGGGGGCTTACGTGGGCCTTGGCTGAGGCTGCCCAGGCTTTTGTTTTGGCGTACTGTTCTGTC